AGAAAATTATATAGAATAAAGAATCCAGCAGCACCACACACAGAAAAATGAGAGCAATCAATTCATACTTCTTGGTAATTACACTGAATATAAACAGATTAAATGAATGCCAGTCAAGAGACATAGAGAGAAGAATGGATAAGAAAACAGGATCCTTCAATATGCTGTCTACAAGAGACATATCAGAAAGATGTAGACAGCCTAAATGCCCATCAACAGAAAGAATTGTTAAACTTTGGTACATACACACAATGGAATGCTATAAAATGCTGAAGAATAATGATGAATCTGTGAAGCACCTCACAATATGGTTGAATCCGGAGGACATTGTTGTTGTTGTAAAGTGTCATTGAGTTGGTGCGGACTCATAGTGACTCTACATAGACTTTCCGAGGAGTGGCTAGTGAGCTTGCATCGCCAACCTTGCTGTTCAAACCAACCTTGATGTCCAGCACATTAGCCTGCAGCACCACACCAGGACTCCTGCATGACATTATGCGGAGTGAAATTAGTCAATCACAGGAGGATAAATATTGTGTGAGATCAATGAAAAAAGTTGGGGAAGGGTTTTCTTGATGGAAGAAATGATCTATGATTGTTACTGGGTGGAAGAGAGGGAGGGCGGGAAATGGTTCATGTACTGGAGGGGGGCCATATGTTGGCATTGGTGACAGGTTTGGGCAGTATACAGTGGGAGGGGAGGAGGTTGGCAGGGGAGGGTTAGGGTGGAAGACACAAGGAGAAATGCAGTTGTTGAACTGAGTGAGGTGAATGCTGCTGGCTGTGGTGCATGGAGGGGATTTTAACTGTGTGGTGGGGCAAAGTGTGGGATTTGTTGACTGTGGAGCTGTTCATCTGCTCTGTGGACCTTCACTCATTTCCTAACGGAGAATTGGGGGGAAAAAATCATCAAACTGTTTTCCATAGTAGCTGTATTGTTATACTTGCCCATTAACAATACCAAGAGTTGGTATTGTCAATCTTTTTATTTATTTTGGCCATTCTCATGGGTGCTTAATGGTATCTCTTTGCTTTTTATTTTTCATTTTCCTATTGAATAGTAGTGTGGCACTGTAAGATAAGCACTGGACTGCTAACCACAAGGTCGGTGGTTCAAACTTACCAGCTGCTTCTCTGAAACCTGTACGGGTTGTTATGAGGCAGAACTGAGTTGATAGCACTTAATAAAAACAACAGCAATGATATTGAATGTCTTTTCATGTGTTTAGTTGGTCATTTTGTACATCTTCTTTGGTGAGCTGTGAATTAAAATCTTTCGCTTATTTTTAAATTGAATTATCTCCTTTATTTATTTTTTAAAAAGTTTTCATTGTGAATTGAGTGAGTTAACAGAGAAGATCATCAGTTTTACATTCAACAAATTATATACTTTGTTTCATTATGATGATTATAATTCCCTCCATGTACCATGACTTAACAGTATTTCTCGCTATTCATTTTAGCTCTTTTGTTTTTGTTTTTTTTTTTTAAACAAACAAACAACCACTTAGACATATATAATAATTTAAACCACCAAAGGGCACATTCTGCAAGCCTGCCTCCTGGCCGCCAGCTCAGTCTCTCTCTCTCAATGAATTTAGACTCCTCAGCTGCTCCATCTCTCTATGTCCCCATCTCTGCCTCCATCTCTTGTGTCTCTGCTTTTCTGGATAAGGTCCCACAATCCGCTTGTGCTCTTCTCCCTTGATGGTCCTAGGATCCTCTGTTTCTGGACTGCAAGATTAACTACTCCCCCATTTTTTTTTACAAAACTTCTACCTTTACAATTGTGACAGGCGTAATTAGTTATGATAACAATTATTCACTATTGAATCATAAGAATCTTATCCCTATCTCTTTTCACCAGACCCTTCTAGACTAGATGAAAACTATTCAGTGTGGACTCTATCTTCCCCCTCACACTCTTAAACTGTGATCCCTCTAGAACACTTTTAAGGCAGCCATTTTGTGCATGTATTGCCCCCTCATTTTAGGTATCCAATGTCTAAGTTGCCCATCCCTATCAACTCTGTATACAGAGGGGATAGGATTGATACTTGATGGGAAGACTCCTTTTCTCTCAGTTGGTTTTTTGAGGTACTACATCCTTGAGTATAGGTCAAATTAATCAAATTGTAGCAATTTACCCTCATGTCCTTTATTAAAAATTTTTTAAAATCTTCCCCTAGTCGAATTCTGATTATCAAGCCATTGAGGATAGGTAGAATGGGCACTATCTGCAATTTTGGGTGTTCTTGTGTGTCTCCCTTCACTTCATATCAGCTGGATGCTTAACTCTTGGCTCTAGCCCTCTGTGGCCATGTCCTTGTCTATGAGACTTAGGTGTCCCCAAGTCTCACCACAGTATGGACTAATCAGCACTTGTTTCTCTTATTTTTGAGTATTAAAATTCTTAGTGTTTTCTGGATTGCTTGTGAATTATAGGAATGTGAAATATAGCAACTTGGGTTAGTTTCTACACTGCAGCGAATGACTTATACCCATAGTCTTTACAACTCCCACCAAAGAGCATGAGAGAAGATGCTGATGGAATGCTATAAATCAGTGGGAATGGTTGTTAACAGGGCAAGTTGTGACTGTAAAAACATGGAACTAAAATGCAGATATAAAATGAGTCATCTCAGGAGGAGGAAGGGGTGGAGCACACTGCACTCCAAGATCCCTGTGTGTTGAACATCCTTGATTCAGCAGACAGAACTGTGACACCAAAGGAGTGCCAGAGGAGCGTTAGCAGCAGAAGAACAGAGTCACAATATGAGACAAAATGGTGGACTTCCTGGTCCATGGAGCACATAAAGCTGATTGGTTATCCAGGAAGCTTGAAAGTGGGCTGTCTCATAACATTCAGTTGGGGAGCAGTGTTTGCTGACCCACTGAACTAGAGCTGAGTGCCTTTGGCCTTAGCTTATAGAGAAGTGGGTTACCCTGAGGACTTTATCAGCAGCACTCAAAGAACTTTGCCCAAGCAAAGAGAGGTCTGCCTGTGGACATGCCTGAGGAGAGGCTGTCCTGTCTGGAAGAACTATGCTGTGGGCATGTCTCTTCCATAATTGTAATATGTTATCTTCTCTAATAAACCCCATGACTGTGAGTATGGTGTCTGAGTACTGTTTGGCCATTGCAATGCATTATTGAAACCAACTGAGTAGAGAATGTTGTGGGAGGGATGGTTTGGTGATTTTTTTTTTTTTTTTAGTTTCTCATCATCTGTGTGTGAAGTGTGAAAATGAAACAGAAATGAGACAAACGTATTTGATCACCATTAATTTTTTATCAATTTTTATACACTCCAATCTTTTTTATCCAAAGACTTGAAACAAATTGTTACATTCAAAACTGTATAGCAGTGGCAAATAG